GGTCCGTGGCGTGGGCGTGGCGGGCGGTCGAGGAGGGAGGGGGGGGCGGCGGGGCCTCAGGGGGGGGGCTGTCAGACATGGAGTCGACCAGGAAAGCTGCTGCGGGGTCTAATGCCGGGGCAGCAGGAGCGGGGGGTGCCGAAACGGCCTGAATGGCCATGGGGACGACAGCGAGAAGCAGGCTCAAACGGGTCTCAGTGTGGAATGGCTCCTCGTGACCCTGCGCGACAAAGGACGAAACGCATTTCAAAGGGGTGACAGGGCAGGCCTGTGGGGTACACAAGGCTGCAAGGGAGCCCCCCTGAGTGCAGGGGGCTGAGCGCTGGACAGAGTCAGCGGGGAGTGAAGCAGGCCGCCGAGCGAGGCAGGCCTTGGGGCTCACCCTTTGCACTGAGCGCAGCGCCGCCAGCCAGAGAGCGAGGAGAGTATCCAGCCAGGAGGCTCCTTCCACGCTGCGCACCACACGAAGCAGCCCTGCAACCGCGGCAGCTCAAAAGTCAAAAGAGGCAGCCGGCATACTGCACGGAGCCATAAGCAAATGTCATGCAAGCTAAGAAGCTGATTGCGTAAAACCAAGTGTGGAAGAAAATTGCCAACATTAGCCAAGCTGCTGGCTTGATCCAATTCCACCCTGGACATAAAGGCGCGATTGTCGTCTCCGCACGCCCCCACTTTCCTCACCAGCCAGTGCGTCGGCCGTGGTTGTGGGTGGCAGCCTCTTCCCCTCCACGCAGTCCTCCAGCATGATTTCCAGCGGCAGCCACGCCTTGGCGGCCCCCACTGTCCAGGGCCGCCACCCGTCGTGCGCCGCCTGCATGGCCACCACCATGCCGCACACCGCAGACGGGGGGGACTGCACCGTGCCCCACGCCGCCAGCACTGTGTCTGCCAGCTGCTTCTCCTCCCAGGGCAGGCCCGCCGATGACGGGGCCAGCCGCTCAAGCGCACCGCTCAGCTGGGCCCAAGCAGGGGGGCTGTACAACACAACGAGGAGAGGGGACGATGACATGGTGAACGACCATGCCTGGCTGCCAAAAACTTGAGCGACTCCAGCTTGACAATGTGGCTAGGTCTTCCATGTCAGGTGGCCCTCTTTGAGTTTTAACATGAATGTGACCAATCGAAGAGGAGACCATTGGGAGTGGATCAAACATATGCATGCCAATGTGTGCCCTTCCATCGGGGCAACTCCTGCCCTGCCCCCACTCACGAAAAGCTCCGTGCTTTTCACCTGACTTTCCGCGCCATTCTTAAAAGGCCCCCTGTCTTACGCCCCTCCAGCAGTGCGTGTAGCGTGCGCAGCGCCACTCGCACTATGTCGTGCTCTTCAGGCCCGCCGAGAAGCACCGCCTGCTGTTCGCCCCCGTCCCCCGGCAGCACCCCCCCCAGCAGGAACGTGCATGCCGACACCAGGAAGTCTATCACCGAGGGCGGGTCGGTACCACCCTCCCTGGATGCTGGATTCGCTGCCTCTCTCCGGGCGCACGTTGCTGGCAAGAACTCCTCCAAGATGTGCAGGCAGGCTAGGAAGACCTGGGGCTTCTGTGCCTTCAACTCCGAGGCTCTGCAAGATGGAATCAAACCTCAGTGACACCGGTGCCTGTGTTGGTTGATTGATTTCCTTGGAAGCAGCATTGACCGACTGAATGGGTGAAACAAAACAGCACCTGGCAGCAAGCTCAAGTCAATTGCCTCCAATTGCCTCAAGTGCGATTCCGCTGCTCCTCACCTCTTCATAAGCGCTGTGAGTGTGTACTTGGCGGGAGCCAGCCCTGCTGCCAGCGCATGCAGCAGGTACGATTGTGCTGTCCTCCAGTCCTGATCGCTGCCGCACATGGCTCCCAGCAGCAGGTCTGCCACCACTGCTGCCGGGAGCGCCCGCTGCTCCGCGTTGCACAAGTCCACGACATCCGCCACAAACAGCAGAGCATCGTCGCCCCTCTGCAGGCTGTCCTGGAGCAGCTCGGAGAGACCCTGCTCGCTCGGCTCGGCAGAGGGCGCCATTGCGCATCCACATCTCGGCCCGCCCCAATGCCCAATCCAATTTTACAGGCTTGTTCACGGTGCTGCATCACTGCATGGTGAAGTCTGAAGAGGCTAGAGCTCATCATGATCACCATATGCACGCCTGCTTCCAAATAAGAGCATCTCTCTCCGAAATTAGCGGAAACCTCTAGAGACATTTCGGACGCCCATGCTTGTACAATATCTCCGGAGAACGTCTAGAGATCCAATTCTATTATAATCAGGTGTCTACTGGCGCTACATACGGTATCTCCCAACTTTAACAAACTTTGCTGGACAAAGCAGCTCTCCAGTGTGAAAAGCAGGACGCAGGGCTGCAGGAGGCACGCCACACGAATGCATTCATGAGCCTGCGGCAAAGGAGAATTTTCTTGGGGAACGGAGCAAGGACCAGCCATACTGCTTTGCTTTGTAGAGCATTTAAAGCAGCAGGCTGACAAGTTTTTGGAAAATTGCCCTTTTCAAAGGATCACCGTCGAAATCTTAACATCTGCTTGACAAGGGTGGTGGTCACGCCCCTTGTCGCCGTCGGTTCAGGATGCTTGCGTGCCAGCATGGATGTGGTGCGGGGGCTGGCATGATGATGTGCTGTCAGTTGGGTGCGCCGCATGAGCGGGGGTTGCCCGCCAAGCCTGTGCCTCTTCTCGCCGATGGGAGTGGCGGTGGTATGAGTCACCTCGAGAGGAGACCCTTCTTGGGGCACCGGAGCTTTCTCCTGAACAATGGGGCACGAGAGGGTTGTCGCATCACTTGCGCAGCAGAAGCAGCCAGCAGTGGTGCCCGCGAGCTGACTGCCTATGAGAAGATGCTGCGGGACCAGGAGGAGAAGAAGCGCGAGCGCACCGGTGTGTACCGCGAGCCGCCAGATGTCCAGCCGCTGAGCGCTGAAGACGCGCAGCACCTGCTAGCGCTGGACCGCCCCGACCTGAGCGCTCCAGTGGAGTTTCCGCTCGAGTGGCGCCTCTCGCGGCGGGAGACCCCCAGCAACCCGCACATTGACGAGATGTCAGGCGAGCAGGGGGCAGAGGAGGTGGTTCCGCTCAACAGGTTGCCGTCCAATGCCAACAGACTCCGCTCGGTTGAGGAGCGCTGCAAACTCCGTGTCAGAAGAAACATCTCCCAGGTGAGAGCTACGCTGCAGACAGCCCGCCGCCAGCATCCTCTCAAGTGGTGGTTTACGCAGCCAATGCCAAGGCTGGTGGAGTCACCGCCTCCAGGATGGCTCACTGGAACAGAAACGCTGGCTCCGAGGGGCTCTGTGCAACCACTGAAGATACAACTCAAGAATGTCTGGCAGCTCTGGGAGTCCATGCGCAGTCTTGACATGTTCAATCATTTGCCTGCTACCCTTTTTAAGAAGTCGCGATGAGTGTGGTGTGGCCATCAGAGTTTGCGAACAACTTCGCTCAGCGCAGGATGTCTACTTCACTTAGGGGAAATTGTGTGTATGTTTGTCTGCCCCCTGTCAGCATTATCGGACTGAAACATGCAAAACTGGAACTATAGACCTGCCAAACAAACTTCTGTCTCGGCCACTCTACTTCACGCCAGCTCCGCTTACTCAAAACTGGTGACTTGAGCTACGAGCACAACCTGAGCTTGTTTCTACTAGATTACTCGAGCCTGTCAGTCATGTGCTTTGGGGGCTGGCCCCCTTGCCTCCAGTCACTGTTTTCAAATCAGCATTGCCCCCTCTAGTCCCATGTCTTTGCAACTTTCGTGCTTTCGTGCGCTTTGGTCGAGGCGGCCCCTTATACTGGCGGCGCTGCTGGTGCAGGCGGAGCTGAGTGCGATGGGGGTGGCGGAGTGGCCCGAGTACTCGTGGAGCCAGCCTGTGGAGCTGGGGCTCGTGTATGACAGAGTCCCCGAGGCGTGCTACATCGAGCACGGCCGCGTGCGCCTGCGGTCGCCGCAGGCCGAGGAAAACGACTTTTGCGAGCTGGCCGCAGGAGACTTTGTCCGCTTCCCTAAATACTCCTCCTTCCTGTGGGAGATTGTGGAGGCGCCGCTGGTGCGGCGGTATAAGTTCCTCATCGATCTTCCCCCGCCCCCTGACCCAGCGGAAGTGCTGCGCCTGCGGTTGCACGAGAAGAAGATGCAAGAACAGCAATTAAGAGCGGAAGTGAGGTACAAGAAAAAGCCCATGAAGGGAAGGGAGAAGCAGATGCGGGTAGCAGAAGCCGAGATGAGGAAAGAGTTGATGGACCTTCGCACAGGGGCCGACAGAAGTTCGGATTGATGCCTTTAGACGGCAGCCAACGCTCGGCATCCAAAACATTGCACGGCGCAGGCGGAACATAAAAGTTCGTGCTTCTCCGCGTAGTCTCGGACGGTTTTGAAGGGTGGACCCTGACTTTGATTCTGACTAATGATCGTCATGAACACGATCCGCTTAATGATTGCTTTTCCAGTCAACCATCAACTTACCCGCCATTTTGGAACTGATGAATATACACAGGTCGACTATGCCATGTCGTGCATGCAAGGAATAGACATTACTGTTAGTCGAGTTGCAATGCGCTAATGCCACTCGATTAGAATGCCGGTTCAAGACCGGGCCACATGTGTGCGTCCTTATGTACGTATCTTAATTCACGAGATCCATGTGCAGACAGGATGCGCGGCCATCAGGCTGCAACCACCCGGGTCATGGCCTATCTTAAGCACATGTGACAGTTGCGGCACGAAAGTACGCAATACCATCACCATTTGCCAGCATTCAATGAATCCGATAGGTATATGAATTGCCGGACACACTGATCCACTGGCATGAGAATCAAATATAGAATTAATTATCAATTCAATTGGCACGTTGAAAACGACGACGCCTGAGCTTCGAAGGTTGATTCAAGTTCACTCCATCGTTATGTACGTGACACGAAGGGCTTAACCTGTGCAATCAATTGGACCACTTTCAGGATCTGTGCAATCGGTCGCGTCATTTTACTGTCTATTTACAGTGCACCTGTCCTTTTCTTTTTCTGATGGTAATTTAAGCCTGTTTTAGAGAACTTCGTAGACCGAGTAAGCATACAGACTCAGATCTAAACCTAGATACTATCAAGGTCGCATATCCCCCTCTTGGGCACAACAATCTGACTACCTAGGAACTCGTCAAGCGAGCTTACATTTCCAGAATCTTGCTGGTAGTGCAAATCCTATGGAGGAGTTTCGCTGGCATGTGTTACAGGTACAGGTTATTTCTGTAGAGCTCTGCTCAAAGCCCTCGACAATTTCGGTTGCCGGCTGTGCTCTACAACTTCGTCCTAAGTGGCGTGCTTATACTGGAAGGTGCGCTTTCTGTTCAACTGGGGTTCCGAGAAGTGCTTGACGAGGTCCGCACGGGCCACCTCCTCCTCTGTCCTCGCGTCCAAGTTGCGCACCTGCACAAACCCCACCCGCTCAGTCGGCCACGAGAGCTGCCTCACCCACGGATCACCCCGGCAGGGAGTCGACCCATTTGGAAAGAAAAATCCCACCATTCCGCTCCTTGATTTGTACGCTCTCAAGAACCAACTCTGATTGGACACCCCCGGCCGGCCGCTGCTCACCTTGACGGCGTCCGCGGCGGACAGCTTCTCCTCGGTGATGAGCACGAGCCACTTGATGCCGTGCTCGTGCGCGTACTCGTACTGCTCCGTCAGGCTCGGCGCCGTTGCCGCCAGGAACTGTGCGCGCATGCCCCCCGCCCACAGCTCGGCGGCCACCTGCATGCGCTCGCGCAGCAGCCCGCCCCCGCCGCGGCTGCACACCAGCACCTCCCGCGGGCTGGGGGCCCCCGCGCTGGCGGCGGCCAACAACTTCTGCACGCCGATGCTCAGCCCCACCGCGCCAGGGGCGGCCACGGGGGCAGCCTCCGGCCAAAAGCGGCGGAGCAGCGCGTCGTAGCGGCCACCCACCTGCGGGAGTGGGGGCCAAGATGATTGTCAAGAGGCGGTCAGGACAGGGAGAGAAAGTAGACTTTTGAAAAGTGCAGCAGGACCGAGCCCCAGAAATATATTTTAACGAGAAAAAGCAAGCATTGGCCAACACTAACGCACTCCCGGGCTACTCCTGGCCACGTTCTCGCTCCCCCTCACCGCAACACAGGCCGCGGGGTGCCCGCCGCTGCCCGCCCTCTGGCCGCCCCGCACGGACCCCTCCCCCCCTGCGGTGCCCGCTGCAGCGTCGGCGCGGGCGTGGTGCGCGAGGTGCAGCTGGAAGAAGGCGCCGCTGGTGGCGTCGTCGTGGGGGGCCATGAGTGCGTCCAGCACAACCCCGTCGGCCACCCCCCACACGCGCAGGTGCTGCACCAGGCTGCCCAGCTCGTCCAGGGCCACCGCGGTGGCGCGCAGCGGGGGCAGCGCCCCGCGCAGCCGCGGGAGGGCCTCCTCCGCGGGGCCACTCAGCCGCCGCTCCACCGCCTGCAGCCGCTCCACAGCGGCATCCGGCAGGCGAAGGCCCTGCACACAGGCGCAGCCACGTCAGCACCCGCACGGCGCCGCGGCACGAGATGAGGGGAAGCAGGGCAAGGAAGCGGGGGGACCTGAAGGTGAAGGAATGTTTGGTGCACATAAGTGTGACTCGCTGATCATGCCAAGAGGCGGAGGAGACACGTGCCCGACCGAATGGCGCCCTGGCGGCACAGAGTGCCTGCTCGACCCCTGTCCACGTCAGTCTGCAAGGTCGTGCGTGGTCCTGACCTGCGCGAGCTGCCGGCGCACGAGCGGCCACTGCGCCTTCCGGGCGGGCGTGCGCGGGGGCCACGCCGCCATGAGGGCCATCAGCTGTGCCACTGCTGGCCGGTCCGCCGCCGGCACGCCCGCCCACGCCCACACCGCGCTCAGCAGGTCGCGGTGCGACAGCCGTACCTACGGGAAGCACAAGCTCAGAGCAGCGTCGAGCATTGAGTGAGAGAGATAGCACCGCCACCGAAGCAGGCAGACACGCCAAGTTGACACGTCGCTGGCGTTGCAGGCAGTCCTTTGAGCAGGTTTATCAAGCTGAATTGCAGTGAAAACGTGATAAAAGCGGGCAATCGACCGCCCCAACATCCTAGGTCGGCGTACCTCGCAGGAGAGCCCCGAACTCCCTGTTGCGCCCGCAGAGGATGCCCCGGAGGTCGACGCCTCCGGCTGGGCGGCGGGGGCAGCGGACGGCACCAGTTCGGCAATCAGCTCGAGGGCGACCTTGATGGCCTCCGCCTCGGCGAGGGTGCGGCTCTCGGGCCGCGCGCTGCCCCCCACGATGTCGAAGTCCGCCTGCAGCAGCTCCCGCGGCGCAGACCGGCCCACGCCACGCCGGTACACGCGTGCAATCTCGTACCGCCGCAGGGACGTCGTCTGCGAGGCCGCCACGTGGACGGCCAGCGGGATACGAGTTTCGTACCTAATAAAGAGAGCGAGCCAGGAGGCATCAGCGCCAGAAGTACCTGGAAAGAAGGTGCTGCCAGGGGCACAGTAAGGTCCAGTCCAAACGCAGGCTAAAGGATAGCCTTGATCGAAGGACAACCGGTCTGCGAAAGCAAGAGACCTAGCGCCTCGAAGGAACTGCCGACTCCGCTTTGCTTGGCGCCTGCTTTATCGAACTGTCAACCAAGCGTCCCTTCTTCAAGTCGCCCACCTGAGCGCCAGCACGTTCCCGCCCGCGTCCGCCAGGCGCACCGCGTGGCGGTGGCAGTGCGCGGGGTCTTCCACCATGTGCACCGCCGCGCTGTCCGTCGGGTGGGCGCCGTGCCGCTGGAACACCTCCTTCATCGCGCGCAGCGCCCACTCCGGCGCAGTGGCGCCCCCCGCCAGCAGCGGCCGCTCCAGGCTGAGCCCCCCCGCCTGCAGGCCCTCCGCCTGCGCCGCCAGCCGCTCGTCATCGAGGACGGCCCCCATGATGCGCCCCACCACGGCGCCGTCGCCCCCCGCGTGCAGCGCGCGCAGCACGTCGTCCAGCGCCTCGTCCTCCATGCGCGGCGGCAGCAGCTCGCTGCGCAGCACCTCCAGCGCGGACGGCCGGTCCGCGGGGTTGGGCGCCACGAGCCAGCGCACGAGCGCGGCCGGGCCGGGGTGGGCGGCGGCCCAGGCGGGGGGCAGCGCGCCCTTCTGCTTGAGCTCGTTGAGCAGCACGGCGCGCTCCATGGCGGTGGAGAACGGGTGGAACAGCTCCAGCACCACGATGCCCAGACTGTACATGTCGCACTGCACACAGGGACACCCGAGGTTAGCAGCGGGGTCAGAAAGGCCGTGCGGGCAGAGGGAAGCGCTCCTCTTAGCGCACAAGAGTACAGCGGGAGCAGGAAGGGCGGCAGGGCGCCGCTGCCTTTGCGCCCACCAGCCAGCGACACATAATTCTTGTCTGAAGCCGCAGCTGGAGGCATCAGAGCGCACGGTGAGACTGGCAGAAGCTGCACTCACCTTTTCGTCAATTTTGGGCCAGCCCTGCTCGATCTCGGGTGCGGTGTAGAGGTACGTCCCCACCTGGCCCGTCCCCTCCACGGACTCAGGCCGTCCCGCTGCTGCGGCCGCGGGGTTGCCCTCGTCCTCGTCCTCCTCTAGCAGCACGCCCTCCGCCGGGTCCAGGTCCGTGAACTTGGCTGCACCAGGGAAAACGCACAAACTCTATAGCTGCCGCCTTAGCGTGATACTTCCTTCCCCACTTCGCAAAAAGAGCAGGGAATGCTCGAGTTGCTGAACGGCAAACGGACGGCCGTTTGCTACAGAACTGGTTCCTCGCCTGGACGCTTAGCTAGGCGTACCAATACCAAAGCGGGTACCGTTAACCAAAGCGGGCCGCAAGGCGCAAGGCGTAAGGCGTACGAGCCGCAAACGGAGCGGTGGGCGGTCTGACCGAGGCCAAAGTCGCCGATCTTGATGACCCCGGTGGGGTCGGCGAAGATGTTGTTGGGCGTGAGGTCGCGGTGCAGCACGTGGTTGCCGTGGATGTGCGCCAGGCCCTCCACGATCTGCCGCAGCATGCGCCACGCCGCCTCCGCCTCCACCGCCGCACCGCCGCCCCCGTCCAGCACCTGCGCAGCGAGCACACTCCGCAATGTTCTTGGCGAGCCAACCAGACGCGGCCCAGGCACCTTACCAAGCCCTTTTGTAAAACAAAAACGGGAGAAAGCGAGGCAATACCTCGAATTCTGAAGTCCTTCTCTGGCCAAATTGAGGGAATCCTTGGGCGGCTGCGCACCTGGCGCAGTGTGCGCGGGCAGTACTCCATCTGGATGTACAGGTGCTGCACGGCGCCCCCCCCCTGCGCGGCGCTGTCGCCGCTCTCCCCCGACCCGGTACTGGGCCGCCCCGCCAGCGTGGCCGTGCCGTCCGTCAGCCAGTCGCCGCCGCTCTCCCCCGCCGTGGTGCTCGTGCCGTCCACCACGTCCACCAGCGTGCCCACCCCGGTCTCGAACCACGCCTGCGGAGCAGTGGAAGAGATAACGCCTCAACCAGGCTGTCAAGGTCGTCAGCGACCCCGTTGTAAGACGGCCAAAATGCAAGCAGGATCGCTTCTGGCGCTTTCTGCAGAGTCGAGCTGCCAGAAAGCGACTCAAAGCTTCTTGCCTGCGGATATGTCAGGCTCATTATGTCCTGGCCGCCCTCGCTAAGGCAGTACGAAGTTGAGGTGGCCTTACTCGGGCGCGTTAAATTTGCACCCAAGATGCCGCACGGCCAGTCTGCACTTCAATGGGTGCGAAATTCACGGGAATCGACGATATATCATACTCCCAACCTTTGTGGGAAGTATCGAACACTCCGTTAAAAACAACATCTTGGACGCGAGGTTAAGGGGCCCGACTTAGCGCTGCCCACGTCGACGATCATGACCACGCTTTGCAATTCAACGTTCCTCTGCCCAAGGAAGACATGCGTGCACTGTGTGCGCTTTCAAGAAGAAAGTACTCTTTTGTCAGGCTGATGTTGAAGGCGTTGCCAGACAATGGCAGCGAAAGAGAGGCCGGAAAAAAGTAGGACTGAAGTTCCAATAAGAGGACAGAACAAACTTTAGGGTCGAGGTCTTCCTGGTGAAACCCTGATGGCGGGCTGTAGAGCGGGGCTGTCCCTCTGCCTCACCTGATAGTAGCGCACAACATTCTGGTGCTGCAGGCGCGAGAGGGTGGCCACCTCGCGCAGGATGCGCGAGTGCGTCGCCGCACTGCGGCTGCGCAGCCGAATCTTCTTGATGGCATACCGCCGCCCGTCCAGCTTGTTGATGCACAGCATCACTGCGCCAAACCCACCACGACCTGCATGCAACCGCGCCCCAGAAGTCAAGGTGCTGACAAAGCGGCCAACTATGGTCTTCTTGAACGGCAAGCCCGGCGACTTAGCGAGAGAGGTCTGATTCAATCAAGTGGTCGAGAAAGGCTCTGGTTCCATCCTGGACATGGAATTGCAGGCTAAGCAAAAAGGAGGGCTTTCATCCATCTAGAATACAAGACACTTCTTGCAAGCAATCCCAGAGGAGCATGCTTTTCGACGAGCCACCAAAGCAGACCGTGCCTGATGTCGTTGGCTCTTAAGCCGCCCTGATTGTCATGCTGATCGCTGTGCCTGCTGCGCACAGTTTCGACTGGCAAAGACGACGCTGAAATGACATCCCTCACCCAGCATGGACACCTCCTGGAAGTCCGCCAGGTACCGCGACGAGCTCGCCCCCCCCTCCTGCCCGCCCTCGTCCGCCTGCTCTCCTCCGCCCCCCCAGAACTTGGCCACTGCCCAGCGCGTGGCTGGCTCGCTGCGCGCCTCCGCCTCGTGCGCGATCTTACCGAACATGGAGCGGAAGGCCTTGTCGAACAGCGCCGGCTGGTGCGCCACAAGGTCGCGGGCCCAGCTGGGCAGCATCCCAATCCGCGCCAGTTGCGCCGTCAGTGCGGGGAGGGCATGCGGGAGCGGTCCGCGTGGCCCGCACAGCAGGCGCAGCATGTGGCCCACCAGCAGGTCCTTGCGGATGGCCGCCGTGGCAACAGCCTCCTGCCGCCGCTGCCGCGGCCCGTCACCAACAGGAGGCTTCTTCGAGCGGCCGGGCGCACCCACGTCCCTGCTCCGCGCAGGCATGGCCCCGCCGCCTTCGTCGCTGTCAGAGCCATCGGAGGCATCGCCCGCTGGCAGCGCGCGGGGCGTGCCCCCCCTGCTCCAGTCGGGCAACGTGAGGCGCACCGCGTTGCCCACTCGAGCCAGGCCATGGCGCACGTTTGCCAGCAGCTCCGTCACCTGTAAAGAACAAGACCACGCTCTAGATGCAGACCCAACAGACGCATGGTCGACCTACGATCGGACTTTTCAGGGCTTGACAAGAAGGATCAGGTATCGAAGTCAAAGGGAGAGGGAGAACCAGAAACTACCTCGCTCAACCAGAAGGCCGAGTGCAAAATGGATGATTGCAACTGTCGGACCTTGAATAAAGTTCTCTTGCTGGAGCTCTGTGTCCGTTCTTGAGTGACAAAAAGCAGCGGCATGGCTTGATCTTGAAGTCATGGGACAAGATTGGGGCCCTTACTGAGCTGCGGCCCAGCCTGCTGCCTGGCATGGCTGCGTCCGCGGAGCCCCCCTCCCCGCTGGCGCTGTCATCTTGCTCGCTGCCCCAACCCCAGCTCGAGCGCCGGCCATGCCCACCCTCCCCCTTCTGCACAGCTGCCAGCTCAGCTTTCTTGGTCACAGCAGGGGCCACTTTCGTGCCCCTGGCCGGCCCTGCCTTGACCAGTGCCTGCGTCTTGTCAGTCCCGTGCTTCCCCTGGTTGCTTTCCCGCGCCCGTCGCCCGGCCCCCCCGCTCTGCGGCCGCTTGAGCGGCACAAGATTGCTGTCCAGCGCGCCACCCCACTGAGCGTCCCCCTCCGTCAGCCAGTCTGTGAACAACCCTGCGTCCACGCTGTCGTGATACCCATCGCCACCGTTCCATGCAATCCCGCTGCCGGGGAGCCCCTCGCGCGCCTGCTCCGCTCCATCAGCCCCTTCCTCCCTCTCCTGCATCTGGTCCCACAGGCTGAGGGACGGGCCCGGCGTGTGAGTGGAGAGGAACTCGCGTGCTGCCTCCGCCAGGTTGAAGATCATGACACGCCCCTCCCGCGCAATGGCGGCCGCCTGCAGGAACAGCCAGGGTGGCAGTACCGTCAGGGACCATTTAGAAGCTGCTGGACAACAAGGACCACCGAGCCAGAGAGTCTGTGAGACAGCCAATACATGAATTGGAAAGCCCAGTTTCATTGAGACCGAGTGATCAGGCCTGCTGGCAGGGCAGCAGTGCGACGGGGCGCCCAGGAAAGGCTGCAGACGTGGGTGGCAGCTGTCACCTGCTCCTGCAGCATGTCCGACAGGTGGTGCACCTCCGCCTCGTCCAGGCCGCCCTGGGGCACCACGCGCAGCTTGGGCGGCCGGTGGGGGTACGACGCAACGTAGCTGCCACGAGAGACAGAAGAGCGCTCAAGGACATGACCAACAGCAATCCTGAAGGCAGGCGCAAGATGGCTGCGCTGAGAAACAAAGTGCAAGGGAGAAAGGACTGACTCAAAGTGTCCCACTCGATGCATGACTCACCGCACTTGCAGCTCCACCGCAAGCGGTTCTTCTGTGGCGCCATCCGGAGCAGTGTGCGGCCTGCGCGGAAGAGACACAAAGGCGTCACAGCAAAGGTTCAGAGGCCACCCAGCGACGTCAAATCAGAAACCACAGCTGCGAAGATAGACACTCTTTGAATTTCTTGGCCACAATTGGTGCATTCTAGCATGTTGTGGGCGGCCACTGCTGGCCAGCTGACAGGGCGCTACTCACAGGATGGTGATAGCGTATTCAATGAAGGGCTCCTGCGAGATGAGGCGGAACTCGTCCCCAAAGATGGCCGCCAGCGCCGTGACCTCCTCCTGCTGCTCAAACAGGCAGTCCGCCGCCTCCTTGTCCTCCTCCTTGCGGCCCCCTTTCTTGCCCTTCTTGCCCTTCTTCTTGCCACCCATCCTCACACGCCGGACCAGCGCCTTTGGCACATCGCGGCATTGCGCTGATGCGGAACAGGCGACAGCCTACAGGCTACAGCCTCGCGGCCATTGGCATGAGTCATCATGACCCAAGACAAACTTGAAACTTTCAATGAAAGGAGAGATAGACATGGTACTGGTAGGCCGCCCGGTGGCGGCGATGGCTTGCCTCTTTGGTCATATAAGGTGGAGTATCGGCGATATTTTAAATCTAGACTTCCCCTGTGTCAGATCAAAGCACCAAATAACAGGGGTGAACAGTTGACACAACTTACCGTTTGCTCGTAAGCACTGCCTATACGTAGGTAAAACAAATTGATACAGCTTCTCCCGATCAACCGGCCAGTTTTAGTGTCATCTAATTTAGACTACCATACGTACGGTAATTGGCTAGGAGACAGTCAGATTCATGACCCCCTTCTCACGCGCGAAGCTGCAAAACCCGAAAAAAAAGCCTACAAATTAACGAAATTGCGGGATTGCGTCAGATCGTCACCGTCGGCGCAGATCTTCTGCCCCATCTCAGTCGTCCATCTTGGCACGTTTCGCAAAACGACAAAGGTTTGTCAGCTTAGCCGTCGATATCTTTTGAAAACGTGCGCTCACTCGCAATTTGAGCCGTCGGTTAGTAAGGCCTCTAGCCCGCGGGCCGCAGCCCTAAACACATCTTGAATCTTGTACCGGTCAGACTCGCAACCGGCCGGCGATTATCCACCGGGCAATGGTCAGTATAAGTAAGTTTCCAACGACGAGTCGGACTAGACCGCTGTGGTGCGAGTCGGATTGGGCGGTCCGATTCGCCAGGCGGAGCCTCCGACCCTTTGACACCCGGTTTCTATTGGTCCCGGGCTCGGAGCCCACACTAGGAGGGGACCGCCCGAAGGGCGGTCGCCCTCCTAGCCCATTCTAGTTTCACCCAGCAACAGACTGACTAAATTAGTCTAAACTTTTCACTAAAACTGGCAGGTTGCTCGGAAGAAGCTGTATCGCGCTGGCATTTAGCGTTACGGCGTTACGTCAGGTCATCGGTCGGCATCGCGGGCGGATTCGACGATATGTGCCAAATCTGCGTGACCGAGGGAGTCGACAGGTGCCGTGCATAATAACACCATCGCAGGTTTGGGCAGATTTGACGACTACCGTAATATTGCACGTTTTATCGTCGACCTCGGGCAGTGAGTTCAAAACCGTCAGACTCGGCCGGGCTCAGCCCACCGCGCAAGAGCGGCGTCGTACAGTGTCGCCCGAAGCTAGCGCGGTCGTTGTCAGTCCCTTTATAAGTTTCATACAGGTGGGTCGCCGAATCTAGAATTTGACCGTTCTGATAGCGCTGGCTCCGGTGTTTTAGTGCCGGAAAGTCGGGTCCCATGTATCGGACGGTCGGCAAAAACATTCCGCTTTCCAGATGACGCCAGGCTGACGACAGCTCAACAATGGCTGTCGAGCTCAACCAGCTTCCTCAATAGACCCAGGCTGATGTTCACGGCGGCCCTACTCATGGTGTCCTGCACAGTTGCGTGCAGCGCGGGAAGCGGAGGAGACGGCTTTGAATAAAAAATGGAACTAATGATGGCAAAGGAGCACTTGTACACGCTCATCAAGGTGGCCACCGAGGAGGATATCCGGGCGCAGATCGGCACCACCACGCACTTCGACCTCGTCAACTACGACTCCATCAAGGTGCACCGCGTCAAGAAACAGACGCCCTTCCAGGATTTCAAGGTACGGCTCTCGGGCAGCCGCGCACCAACTTCCGGCTGCTTGCATGGCCTTGACAGTCTTCCGTGCTACAAGAGCTCAAGCCGCACTTACGGCCCCCTCTATGGAGGAGATTGACAATCCTTGCGCCATGCTTCGGACCTTCTCGGTTTGCAGTTCTGCAAGACCATGTTGTATTCCGAAAACTGGTCCTTGTCAAGTGTTTCGGAGTGTGTTGGAGATCTGTGAGGGTAGCACGACAGGTGGCCTGAAATCACCCTGAAATCTAGCGTGGCACGGTCTGGTGTGCAGGCGCAGATTGCGGAGGAGTTGGGCATCCCGGTGGTGCTGCAGCGGTACTGGGTGTGGGCCAAGCGGATCAACAAGACGACGCGGCCCAACCGGCCGCTGACGGCCGTGGAGGAGGCGCAGACGGTGCAGCAGCTCAAGGACAGCCACATGAAGATGCCCCTCACCGAATTGCGCCTCTTCCTAGAAGCACCCATCCTGCGCGAGGTGAGGGCGGGGCCTGCTCTGCGAAGCATGAACCTCTGCGCGCTCCAGCACAAGCAGCGGCGAGGGCACGGCACACGCCTGCCAGAGGTTCCCAACATTTGAGTTGCTTCATCATTTTGTTTCGCTAGTATCCCCTATCCAGTTGTTCTCTGATTGTTTTTATCCCCAACCACGCTGCGTGTGGCTGGCAGGACCTGAAGCAGCTGTCGCCGTCCCTCCCGGAGCGCAACAGGGGGGACATTCTCATATTCTTCAAGCTGTACGACCCCGAGAAGGAGACCCTTCAGTAAGCCTCGAGTACGCCCTGCCCCGCTTTCGGTTCCCCCTTCTGTGATCGAAACTTATGTGCACTGCGTTTGTTGTATCTCCTGGAATAATGTTGGTCTCGCACCGCAGCACATCAAAAGAGGCCAGGACCATCTGGAGTTTCATTTGGTGGTCAAGGTTTCATTGTACACTCCGTGACGTTGCTTTCGTTCCGCGTGCGCTGTGGTCATCCTTGGCGTGCTACTGTGTGGCGCAGGTACGTGGGCAGCCTGTACGTGCGGCTGTCGTACCGGCCCAATGAGGTGATGAGGCACATCAACCGGCTGGCGGGCTTCCCGGAGGACCAGCCCATCAAGCTGTTCGAGGAGATCAAGTTCGACCCCAACGTCATGTGCGAGGCCATCGACAAGAAGCTCACCCTCAAGGGCAGCCAGGTCAGCCCCACACACATCAGTACGTGGCTAGAACGGTTGGAGGCAAATGCCGCAGGCTGCGAACAACAGGGTTTTGACATAGCGACCTGCGATGATCGAAGCAAGAACAGCCTGGAGTTCGCCGGCTGAGAGCTTATTTAAAGTTCCTAATCTGCGAATCCTGGATGCTGGGCGTGACCGCTGTTCGCGTGGTGCTGCGCAGCTGGAGGACGGCGACATCATCTGCTTCCAGAAGGAGCTCCCGCTGGGGGCGGCGTCCGCTCACCGCTTCCCCGAGGTGCCGGCCTTCATGGAGAACGTGGTCAACCGGCAGGTCGTGCACTTCCGCAAGCTTGAAAAGCCCTCCGCTCCATACTTCGACCTCGAACTGTGAGCCCCGTCTCTCTAGCTGTTTCAGCTGCTTGTTTCGTGTTCTGGAACTTGCCAAATCCACGGCATAGTCTCGCTCTAAGAGACCATGCTAATTCACTTGCTCGTCTCTCTAGCTTGGTTTGTTGCCTGATGAACCTTGCTGATCTCTGGCAATCCAGTTTCGCGGTCTTGGAAACCACTGTTTTCGTCAGTGGTCCGTTACACGTTCTCAGAGTCTCTGCATCTGCACATGTGATGCTTTGGCGGGTCTCATGCTCGCGGCCTGATGTCTGTCTGTTGGTGCGCAGGTCGAAGGAGCTCACGTACCTGGACGCCATCTCTGCGCTGGCGGCGCACATGGGCCTGGACAACCCTGCGAAGCTGCGGCTGTCGCCGCACAACGTGCACACGCACATGCCGCGTGTGGCGCCGTTCAAGTACGCAACGAGCGACAAGCTGTACGACATGCTGCGCGGCAACACACCCTACAGCGACATCCTCTACTACGAGGTCCTCGACATCCCCCTGCCCGACCTCGAGAAACTCAAGACGCTCAACGTTGTCTTTGCCAACTCCAAAGTCGAAGAGGTTAGCGCCCCGCTGCTTGCTTCGCTTCATCTATTGAAAGTTCACCGTTGTGTTCCGAACGCCGGTCCAACGATTGTTCGTGTTATTTTTGCAGGCAGTGACAAACAATGTTTCGTCACAAGTCCCTTTGAAAGGCTCCAAAAGATTTGCGACGCACTCCTTCTTTGTGCCGCAGGTTGCATCGCACCAGATTCGAATACCACGCACCGGGACCGTGAGCGATCTCCTGGTGGAGCTGCGGAAGAAGGTCGAGCTGTCACGGCCTGACGCCGAGTTGCGGGTGGTGGAAGTCATCACCTCCAAAATTTCCAAGGTGCGCGCCGCCAGCGCATCGGCACAGCCGTCGTTTCTAGGGTCAGGCGACAATGCAAGTGGCGATACTGCAACAGTCCTGGTGTTGTCATGCTTTCCCTTTATCTGCGCCGTTGTCTCGTTTTCGTTCTAAGTCGTCGTTCCGCTGAATTGCAGGTCTTGCCGCCGGGCGACAAGATCTCCGACCAGTGCTGGAAGATCCGTGCAGAGGAGGTGCCGACGGAGGAGGTGGATGCGGGGCCCAATGATCGTCTGCTCCACGTGTACCACTTCCGACGAGACAAACTCAACAAGGACCAGGTGCGCAGACGCGGCGCCCAAGCTGGGCGTTTCGCCATCGCCATGGCCGACTTTCTCGCAATGCCCATGAGGCCTTCTTTCCTGGCTGCAAAGGAGCGTTTTCGTTGTGTACCTAAGCTGTAGAGTCCATGATTGGCCTCCTCTGATCGACTGACCGGATGCAGGCGATATTGTTTGGAAACCCGTTCTTGCTGGTGGTGCGGGAGGGGGAAACCATGGCCGAGGTGAAAGCGCGCATCAAAGCAAAGCTGGGGACGAAGGACGGAGAGTTCGACACGTGGAAGTTTGCTCACGTCACCAACAAAGCAAGCCCAGAGTACATCAAAGACGACGAGGTTGTGCTGACGCGCTTCCCGGTGAGCGAGACTGTCCCTGCTCTGTTCTTGCTGCCAGATGCGCGCCCGCTGCGGTCTTCCTTGCACTGTAGAGCCGGTTGCTGCTGTGTGCAAAGTAGTGGTGGCTCAGCTGTTGTGCTCACAGATTTGGAGGGCTGGGGGAGAGGAGTGGGGGGTCTTGGGGGGCAGGCCGGGCTTCTCGTTATGACTTTGGTTGTGCACCCCTTCCTGCAGAGTGTGGTCAGTATCTTCGAAGCAGAGTTCTTGGGGATGGAGCATGCTGACATGGGCCCGCAACGAGCACGCATACGAGAACCCGAGAGACGGGGGCATGAGACAGATACAGTGAGTAGGCCAGCCTTGCAGAATTGGACGCTAAAAGGCCGTTTATACAGCACTTTTTCAGTTTTGACACTTGGCAACTTTGGCTGTACATTGAACATACAGCTTTGCACACCTTGACGGTCCAATCAATAAAGGCGACTGCTTCATAATTTCAACTCGACTTTGTCTGTTGCTCTTCATGTGGCCGCACCCGCACTCATGCCACTCCCAAGTTGGGCGTCGCGGAATGCTTGGGGAGCGTGCAAATGGCCCTCATTCTTATCCAGACCTGTAAAGCGACGTCTTGTCTGAACTGTTCGAGCCCGCGTTTGTCTAGCTGAGGCACTGCGTTAATATGTGGTTGATGGCAGTAAATGCTGATAAGGTAGACGGTGTAGAATCTGGTCCGGACGTGGATCCCAAAGCAGCCACGAGACGCTAAATTCGACCACGTGCAGGATCCTGACCCAGAGTCCAAGCCAAATCACGAACCAGACGCAGAAGCTGGACTCAAACCCGACCACAAATTGGGGTCCGACTCAGATGGGGGTTCTGCTGGGAAGCCTTGGTTGACCGCAAATCCCGGGATAGTCAACGGAGCCTGGTTGGACGAGCTAAGGGTCTTTTGGGAAAGCAACAGCGGTCTCCAGAGTGTGCCTGTCATACCAGACGAGAAATCCCGGGAGCTGCTGCAGCGTTTCCTTTCCGATAAGGTGCGTCTTTTGGAAGCGGAGCAACGGATGAAAGGCAGTTCTGAAGCGTCCGCCTATTTTACCGAGATGCACAAGCTCCTGGGGGACCTGTTTACGGGGGCGCAGGCGCTTGGCAGCGGTAACGTCCGGTCGACAGGCGGCACCTTTGTTACGCTGATGTCCACCTTGGCTCGAGGCGCAATTGGAGGATTGCCGATGCTTGGGGGATTGGCAGCGGGGGCAGTTAAGGCTGGCACGGACGCATATCAAGAGTTTGGGATGCGGAGAGCTGCGGAGAAGGTGTGCCGCATTGCGCCTGCGGGGTTGGCGCATTGGGTGGCGCACGCCGCTGCTCTGGGGCTTGCACTTGGACGAGAGGGGGTCGTGCAGGTAACACTTCTAATTTTTCATGTCTGAAACTATACCTACATAAAGATAGGACCCACCGCACGTCTTTCGGAGGAAGAAGACGCCCCTGGGGGACAATCCAGGTGGTCGGGGTAGGTTTCAAAGCAGTTAGGGTGGGTTTAGCGTCGAGCGAGCAATGATTCGCGGAGGTTTGCGTATTCAGTACTAGCCTGCTTATGATGCCCCGTAACCTGTAAAGCTTAAGCATTTGGAGCTGCCATATTGCGCCTTCTGCTTATAGTAGTCTACCTCTTCGAGCAAGCACATCTTTCTGGGTCTTGAAGCATTTTGGGTACCGTCTGATTTTTGCTACGAGGAGGAGGCACTTGGTACGGCAGTTGCCAGGAGGCTGGGAAGACCACGTGGGTTTCCTGCAGAAAATCCCGCTCTCTATGAAGATGACGATTCTACGAATTCGTGCAGGTGCTGTGGACAGGTGGCGGGAATAACCATGTGTCGATTGCCGCAAAAGTCCGCCTGCGGTGGTCGAATCTGACGGGGCTTCCGGAGCCGATAGCTCGACTCCGGGGCCTGGTCAAAGACGACCTGGAGCGAATTCTCGATGGCATTCTCTCGGGGCGGGTTACTGGGGTGCAAGGGGATACGGACGGGGTGGAAGTTTGTCAGCGGCTGATTGATGTGGGGCTAGAGGCAACCGGCAGTGTCGCCTGCACCCCGACTACAGCCGGTCCCCGGCTGCCACTGGTCACCTCGGTGCCCAAGTTCGCGGGTGCCATCGATCCGTCGATTACGCAGGCAATGCAGGGACAGATTGATAACCTGCCTGGAGGCGGAGTTGGCAAAGGTTCCTCGCCTCGAAGCGGAGGTAGAAAAGTTGAGGAGGCGGTTAAGATCACCAGATCTTAGGGCTGACCCGCATGGCAGGGGGGACGGTAGCACGACGCAGTTACTACTGGTGGCTGGTGCAGAAGGCGCCGTTGAAACCGCCGGCCAGATTACAAGTGTGCAGGAGCAGGTCGACGTTCTCCAAGCGGCTGTTGTCGAGCTCAAAGCAGAGCTGGAAGCGAGAGGAGAAAGGGCTTTGGGTGCTGAGACGGGCCGAACATCAAGCTCCGAGGTGGTTCGACAAAGGGAGGTGAGTGGACCTACTTTTCGTCGCTGCTCAGGGACTCAAGTGAACGGACCCGAGGATGAATTATGAGCTATTTGGAAAGGGTGACGTACGCTCAAGCAGGTGGCGCGTTTGGCAGTGTGGGTAGCGGACAAAAGACATGAAGCGCTTTGAGCTTGCTTGGAAGTTTGTCACAAGTGGGGAATGTTGGTTCCCCGGTTGGTGCTTTATCCTCCTTTCGGCAGTGTTTTCGGGTCAGTAGAACCTGATTCTTCAGGGTTGCAGAAAATAGTTGCTGCCTCGGAAAGCCCCAATGTACCTTCATGTTTGTCGCACTGTCACAGCCTCTATCGTACTTCGATACAGTGTTGCATGGGCGGTCAACATTTTCTTGGCGTTGTCTATCTTCTTCTCCTTGGCGCCGATCGACAAACGGAAGCTTTTTTCTTGTCTAAAGCAGTCGAACAACAACCCTCTCTTCGGGCTTTGGATCCAGTCAGTACGATCCCGAAATGGGCTTCGCTTTATAGCCTCTATCAAACAGCGAACGAAATTTTCAAAGAACCGTCAGCATGAACGACGGAGTTGGTCCATTCCGAGATTCCAAGACTGTCTCTTCTATGTAAATTGCCACCCACTTCACGACTCCAGCAGCTTCTTGTGAAAACCGGTTGTATGACTCGCCGTTCAGGCTCCCCGCGCCGTAGTTGCGCCCCCCAAGAGGACGTTTCTTATCGAGCGGCGACAAGATGACGTTAACAGGCCACAGTTCTAGCTAATTACAAGATGTCGATGACTATGAGTGTTTGCATGATCGACTTTCAAAATAGCAGAAAAGCAGTACAGTAATACAGCAGTAGGGAGGTAGAATTGAGTAGGTAGTATGTCGGATTAAACGCCCAGATTCATCGAACAAGTTGTTCAGTGTTTCAGGTCCATGGCTTAACCGCTACGGCCTTATATAAAAGAAGTATGTAATGTATGTACAATTATTTATGTAAGCCTGTCCCTAGTTTGCGGCTAAGTATCAAATTACAACCACATAAAGTCTACCCAATGATTAGAGTCTACTAACTAATAGGTCAGACCATTCCCACCAGAGTGACGAACCGAAGAAACCACCCCGCCGTAGTCTTTGCATAGCTTGTAGGTCGTACAAATACATTAGATCCCGTATGCACGAGTTCGTAACTTTGAGATGGAGTTGAGTGTGATTTGCATGCCATCTAGCTAGTATGACATTGGACATGACTTGCAGCCGTAGCAAGCTGCAGAGTCAACTCATGATTGTACCGTCCCGGTCTCACCGGCAAACTTTGCCCGATGGCTCACGTGGCTCCGCTTAGGGCGTTAATAAACCGTAAGTTGCCATTAGATTGCCAAATTGCCAATAACTTCACCGTTCTGACACCGCCAAGTCCCCAAAAGGCTTAAACCAAACCCTTCATGAGTGCGATAAACCTTCATCTGACTCCCGCAGGCTAGGACCTTATCCCAAGCTAAAAAGCTAGGAATTCTCCCCTGATACCAACCATGATTGCAAGTGCGCACCCGCTGAGTCTACAATACTCCCACGGGCTAACACCCATATAAATTTTTTTGCTTCGAGCTGAAGAGGTGCTGGGATTTTCGCTAGGTCAAAATCAACTTCCCAATAACTTCTCATTCAAGTTATGGGCTCAATGTTCGGATTTCGCCCAATTTATATTTGGGAATCACCCTAAAAGTTCGATAACATCTAATTCCTGAGACTTTGTCGAATGCAGTCATCGATTCTAGTCTACTTTATTCATACAAACATTACAGACTGCTAAGCTATCCGCAGCAGAAGCGGCCTTCTAGACGCTTCCACAACTCCATAGCCTATAAACCACCCTCAGCTTATATGCGATACCCCTAAAAATCCTGCAAAAATCACGCCCTTCATGCATGCAATCTTATAGACGCCCTTGGAATGGTTCCATGCTTGAGCGCCACACTTATATGTACTTCTATGAATTCAATCATGCGAATTGCAATCTTTGCATGGAGCTGCCAAATCCGACTGCAGAGGACGCTGATCCGTTCATTTGCACGTTGTGACGCCTCTGCAAGCTATGGGAATGTGCGCTTATAACCCGCATTGACAAAGTGGACTTTGCACGACATACATTTCAAGAAGGCCCGTCTTATGGGCAGCGAGACTCCTGGAAAACTTGCGGTGCTGAAGCACTGTTTCCATTATGCAGAATGCCCCAGATAAGGATTGCAATTGGACGGAAAGCAGACTTACCACCTGCAAGTAGAGTTACTTAAGCAGGCGACCGAGAAGAGAAGCTCCAACTGCTTGTGAGGTTCTTCAAATACTCAGCGCTTTGCTCAAGGTATTTCAAGTGGAGGTTCAAAAGCTCCAAATCATCTCGAGGGAACAAGCATTTCCAGCCAACCTGTACTAGCGGGACATACGGAACTACGCTTACCAGCAAGCACACATCCGGATGTGTGCAGGCAAGCGACCCCTTTCATTCGCCCTCTGGAAGAACGCTGAAAGGGTTGGGGTCTTGTTCTTTGTCGTCTTTCTTTCCGCCAGTGTTGCGCTTGGGCGGACTCACTGCAGTCACAAGAGGAGGCACCCCTTTCATGCGTTCCACAGGCAAGAAGCAAAGACTGTGTGAGAAGACACGATGAAGGTCAGAGCTCAGACAGTGCCCCAGCTGTCTAACATGGCAGGGCCAATCCCCCCCGCACTCCGACCCTACCCCACGACTTGATTGACTTCTTAGTTCCTAGAGTGCACAGCGGTAGCAGCAGCCTCGCCACCAGTCTTGCTCACCGGTCGACTGCTTCTTTTGGCCTCCACGAGGTGACGGCACCAGACCCCCACGACCAGTTCCGCGCCCACCCCCGCGCCCTGCTGCGCGGCCTGTCCCGCGTCCCTGGAAGATAGAAGGAACGGTGGAATGAGACATGGAACTCCAAACGATGTGGGAGCTCTTAGCGTGCACCTAGCACCGTCACTAAGCCCAATGTGAGCCTCAGCCACCCGCAAGCGTGTTTCAAATCGTCAGTCGTCGGGCCCCCTCTGCACGACACTGTGGCAGACTGCCCCGATGCACCTCACCTTGCCGCGTCCTGCCTTGTGCCCCTGTACGATTCTCTTGGCCACGTCCGCGGCTGCAGGCCCGGCGGAACTGGGCAATGCCGCCTGCGGCTCCGGCTTTGCGTGCAGCTTGACCAAGCTGATGATCTTGCTCGAACCGCCTCCATCGCCGCCTGGGGCGGCACCTGGCCAATCAGAAGCACGCAGAGCAGGATGGTGAGGCCACGCGTAAAGGAGAAGGTTTCCATACCCGTTAATAGCAGGTCGTGCCGTGGCTTTCGCAGTCCGCCACTCTCGCCCCGCACAGGCTGGTGCCTTGCTCGCACCCGCAACACCGGGCGCACGCCGCTGCTGGCTTGCCTCACCTGCCTCCCCTGCTGTGGCCGCCTCGGTGCCCGGGGCCTGTGATGTTTCGGCTACGCGTTTGTCAAGCTTGGCGCCTGCCTTGCGGACACCCTTGGGCTTGCTGTCTTGAGGGCCCGCCTTTGTTTCCACAACCTCGCTGGCGGCTCCATCCGTTTGCGTGCTCCCCTTTCCATTCCCGGCCTCGGCACCGCTGCCTGGCATATCCTCGACCGCTTTGGCATCTGCCGTGTTTGGGGGCTGCTCCTCGCCTGCTTCCGCTGCGGGCGCAGTCGCTGCCGTGCCCTGCTGCTCCCCGGCGCTCGGCTCCGGCCGTGTCCCCTCTCCCGTTCCTTGCTGCTCCTCCCCGGCTGGTGTCCCCGCTGCTTCTTGTCGCGCTGGCGGCGCCACCTCCTCACTGCCTGCCGTCGCCTGCCTTTCCTGCTCCTCGCTAGCTGGAGTGACTTCTGCTGCGCCCTGCTCGTCCGTTTCCCCCTGCTCCGGCTCCTCTGCGGCTGCGCCCGCCTCCCCGCCCTGCTCCTCCACTGTCTCCGCAGGCAGAGAACCGTCCCCGTCCCCACTTGCCCCCGCTGTCTCTCCTTCCTCCTCCTCCTGCTCAATCTCGCCCTCCTCCCTTCCCGCCAGGTCGACCTCCATGTCCCCGGCCTCGTCGCCCTCGTCCCTCGCCTGGCTCTCTTCCCCCTCGGCTGCGGCGTCCCCTTCCTCCCGGTACGGCTGCCGCTGCTCCTCCATGTCCCCGGGCTCCAGCTCCTGCGGCGCCACCTCTCCGCCGCCCAGCTCCGCGTCCTCGCCCGCCCCTTCCCCCGCTGCGTCTTCCTCCATCTTGTCTGCCTCCGCCTCCGCCACCAGCTCCTGCTTCTCCTCCTCTATCGCCGCCACTTCCGCACTCACTGCCGCCTGCTCCTCCGCAGCTGCCGCCTGCACCGCTGCCGCCACCTCCTGCTGCGCCACGGCCTCCACCCGCTCGCGCTGGCTCCCCGCCACTACGGCGCCCGGCCCCGGCCTGGCCAAGCTGGCCGCCACCGCCGCGCGCACCTCCTCTTGGGGCGACGCCTGCACCGGCACAAACGGCGCGGCGTCCATCCGCAGCCGCTTCCCTACTGGGGCGTCCTCCTGCGCGTCGCCCTCTCTCGGCCGGGCGCCCAGGGCCAGCACCGACGGCGTGGCGGGGGTGAGGCCGGGAGGGGGCGTCGCAATCGGCGGGGCCGGGGTGGGAGCTGCAGCGGCCCGGCTGGCAGGAACGCCGCTCATGGCCGCCAACGCAGCCTCCCTGGCTTTGCGTGAGGCCTCCGCCACGGTGCTGTCCTCTTCCCCTGCGCGTGCCCGCTTGTTGGATGCGGCCGCTTGCCCCTCCCTGCTGGGCGCGGGCCGCTTGGCGGGGCTGCCAGTGGTAGGCCCAACGGGCCGGGCTTCTGCAGGGGCGGCCTTCTGGGGAGCCGGCGAGGGAGCAGGGGGCAGGCCTGCCCGGTTCAGCTTTGCAATGCGGCCGGGCAGCACTGCAGGCGGGGCGGCCGGGCTGCCTCTTGATGAGGCGCTCCTGGCGGCCAGCAGCTTCATGCGCAGGGAAGCCTCATGCTCGCCAGGGCCAGATGCTGCCGGGGGGAGGGCAACAGCTGCAGAAGAAACGAACAAGGAGGACGAGGTCAGCTGGCAGCGGGAGGGGAGTTGTTATCAGGCAGCCGACCTGCTCGCAGCTCACGTGGACGCAAACGTGCTCGTACCTCATCCACCCAATCCTACACTCCCGTGCTTGTGCTGCCTCCCTGTCTGCAACTCCAATACGTACCTTCTTTCTTTGCCGGCACTTCGGCTGGCACGGCTGCCGGCTCTGGCTCTGGCTCCTTGGTAGCGGCCTCGCTGGCGCCGGGTGCGGGGGTGGCACCTGATGCTGGGGGTCCTTCCGGCGGCGGCGCCTCCTTGCACCCCTCCCCCTGTCCGGTGGGCGCCGCCATCTGCGCCAGCTCCGCCAGGTCGATGGCCGCCATCACCTGCTCCGCGGCCGCCCCGGCCTTCTCCTCCGCGCTGGCCCCTGCCGGAGGCCCCCCTTGGCCCGCTGCCGCCTCTGCCCCTGCCGCAGGGACCTCCGGCGGCACCTCCTTGGGCTGCTCTACGCTCTTCTCCTCGGGCGCCTTGGCAGGCCGCGCAGATGCCGCAGCCGGCGTGGGTGGCGGCACTGGCTTCTTGCGCGGCGCAGCCTGGGCTGGGGCGGCAGGCGGGGCCGCCGCCTTGTCTGCTCCTTCCGGCTCCATCTCTGCTTCCACCGCTGGGGCCGGGCTCTCCCGAGCTGCAGCGGGGGCGCCCTCCAGGGCCTCCAGGCGTGCCGCCAGGCTGGCCCTCTCCTTCTCCTTGATGGCCAGGATGTTGGCCAGCTTCTTGTTGTCGGTGGCGGCGGAGAGGCGTCGCTTCTTCTCCGCCTGCAGGTTCTTCTCCGCCTCCTGCACCACCACCGGCAGCAGTGCGTAAGGCAGCTGGCCACCCGGCGTATGGTCACAGCAGGGCAGGACTCATTGCCGAGATGCGCAGCATGCATGCGAAGTGGCTAATAGAAATTAACAATGCGCTGTTCCTGCCGTCGTTCGCCATCCGCTCCTCCCTCTCTATCCTTCCCTGGCCAGCGGCTCACCTTCTGTGCCACCCCTGCCTTCTGCGCTGCAATCTCCGCATGCTTGAGCCGCATTTCCAGCTCGGCCACGGCCTGCTTCTCTGCTGCCTCCCCCGCTGTACTGCTCGCCTCTTTGCGGGCCTCCTCTGCTGCTCTCTTGGCGCCTGCGGCCTCCTGCTTGGCCGCCTCCTCTGCTGTCTTGGCCGCCGCCGCCTCCTGCTGCACCCGCTCCACCTCCTTGCGCGCCGCCTCGAGCTCCCTCTTGGCCGCCTCCACGTCCTTTCTCGCCGCCTCCGCGTCCTTTCTCGCCGCCTCCACATCTTTGCGCGCCGCCTCCGTCTCTTTCCTGCTGTCCTCCGCCGCAGCTTTGGCCGCCTCCAGCTCCTTCTTGGCCTCGTCCGCTGGCCCCCGCTTCTGCCAGCGGTTCAGGCCGGCCCCCCCTTCCGCAGCCTTTAGCTTGGCCTCCAGATCCGCCACCTGCTGCTCCAGCGCAGCGCGCGCCTCCTTGCTGTCGTCGTTGTTCCTCTGCCACCACCACAGAACGGCGCCCGTCAAAGCTGCCTCCCAGCAAACCCTCGATCTGACCACAGCCTCTGGTGCTCTGCCTCAGTAACCGTACCAGGCCGACAAGGCAGGACAGCCAAACAGAGAGCAGACGCATTTCCGTGCAGAGTCGAAGTTGATGACCGGGCACCCATGATGTGGAGCACACTCGCCGCCTCTGTCATCGTGCTGCGCGTGCGTGGTGGTGGCTCACCCGCAGCGTGGCCCTGTAGCGCCGCAGGTCCTCCTCCTTCTTGCCCGCCACGTCCTCCAGCTGCGCCTGCAGCTGCGCCACCTCCTGCCGCGCCGCCTGCGCCTCCGCTGCGGCGCCGCTGGTCGCCTCGTTGGCCTGCCGCAGCTGACCCTGCGCATGCGCCAGCTCCTCCACGATGCGCGCGTGCTCTGCAGGGTCCACCGCCTCAAACTTCTTGGTCAGCTGCACACACACAAGGCCACCACGCGCCGCCAGTCAGATGGCGGCAGCCCGGCGGTGGGGGCAGAATCCTGCCTGGACTGTGTACTTCCCAAACCTGCACCTGTGTCGAAAAAAAGCAAGGCTTTGGCAGCCTTGAGACATACGAAAGCGACATCCCTCTGTGCCCGTGCCTTGAACTAGCTTCCCTCACACAACTCTGCACCCTCCCCAGCCTGCCTGCTCTCCTCCCTGTGCTCTCACCTGATCTGCGCGGGCCTTCCACCGCTGGGCCTCCTGCTGGGCAAGGTCCCTCTCCCGCGCAGCTCCGTCCACTGCGGCCTCCTTCTCGTGGAGGGCGCTCTTCAGGGCCCCCACCGCCCCCTCCAACTCGCTGGCCTGGCTGCGCCAGCGGCCCGCCTCGCGCAGGTTGGCAGCTGCCTCCTCGCGCAGCGCGCTGTTGCTCTCGCGCAGCAGGTTCAGCTGGTCCACCTGCACGCGCGCCACGGCCAAGTTCGCAACCTCAGGCACCATGCGGGCAGCGGGACGACTTCCAGCACCCTAGTACACCAAACGCACGATGAAGACTACATCCCGTGGGCAGCCCGGGTCTGGTGAAGGTCGGCGGGCGGGCGGGCGGTGGTACCTGTGCGAGGAGGGCGCGGTGCTCCTGCTGCTGCTGCAGGCCGCGGTACGCCTTGTCCGCCATCACGGCCAGCTCCGCCCTCGCCTCCTCCGCCGCTTTGCTGGCCTGCTCCGCCTGGCTGCGCCAGCGCGCCCCCTCCTGCTGCGCCAGCGCCAGCGCCGTCTCCACCTGCGCCCACATGCCCGACTACGACTCAGCCCAGCCTCCCCGGTACCAGAAAAGGGTCCGCCTCAAAGCATCGGCAACATCAAGATACTCTCCGGCCACCTTCGAGCCTGTGGCACAACCACTGCTCGCTGCTGATGCACCCGCAGGCAGGGAGACTCTGCCCGACCGTCAAAGAGCCGTGCCCGGCTGCCTCACCGTCTCTTTCTCCCGCCGCAGGTAGCGCAGCACGCCCTGGATGTCCTCCTCCTCGGCCGCGCCCGGCCCCAGCCCGGGGCGGGGCGACGAAGGGGCCGTTGGGTGCTGCGCCTCCAGGCGGTCCAGCAGGAGGCGGTTCTGGGCCTCCAGCTGCGCCGCCTTGCGCACCGCCTCCGCTTCCCGCGCCTCCAGCGAAGACTTCTCCGCAGCCCAGGCAGCCTCGCAGGACGCCTGGGGGAAGTGACGCACACGTCAGGATGGCTTGCCAGGTGTGACGGCTTCACTGCTTCTGCCGACGGGAGATGCTCATCAGCACAACACTCCTTTCTAAAGACTTGGTGGCTTCCCAGGTATTCTTTTGCGGCAGAATACTAGTGCAGACTAGCGTGCGCAAAGCTGTGCATCCCACCTTGAGCTGTTCGGCTGCCTCTGCGCGGCTCTGAGCAGTTCGGGCCCCCTCCTCCGCAGCGTGCAGCTTAGCAGCGGCCTCGTTCTGGGCGCGGATGGACTCCGCCTGCACCAGCACCTGCACCGCAACGCCACGCCCATCAGCCAGAGGGCCGTGCTTGGAGATGCCGTGCACCAGATCCCCAATAGAGGGACCTCAACGACTCAATGAATACTGATACAATCGCCAGTTGTCAAACATAAAGGAAACAACCTTCCCACAAGCTCTCCCGTCTCGTATGCCGCTCACAGGATTTTTGCTCAACTCTGTTGACGATGTTGACCGCGTCGAATACTTTTCGTCAGAAATTCGCAAGGCCCGTCGAAGAGGACTGACGGTGTCGATGGAAAGATTCGAACGTCCCATTCAAGGCGTTGTCCATCAGAGGAGAGCTCCGTCGATTTCGATGAGTCCACATACGGGCTTTCGACTTCTGTTATTTCTGTAGATTTTGCCGAGATTGTGACACTCGACTGTCGGTCAAAAGACGGGGAAAAGACACTGCGAACGACCCATTATTTCTCTTCGTTTCCCACTGACCGGGTGGTCCATCGACGCCATCGAGACAGAACCAGGTGCGAACAGTTAGCCTATGAGGCCCCCCCTCCGCTCTGCCTCCTGCAGGTGCGGCCTACTGACCTGCTGCTCGTAGTGCGCCTGTGCGCGCGCATACTCCCGGCGCGTCCTCTCCCCGTCTTCCTTGAGCGCCCCCACCCTGGCCTGCGCCTCCTGCAGCGCCCCCCGCAGCGCCGCCACTTCGTCTCTCTCCGCCTGCCTTTCCCGCTCTGCCGCCTCCCCCTGCGCGGCCGCTGCCTCCTGGGCCTGCTGCGCCGCAATCTGCAGCGCCGCCACCTCGCCCTCTAGGTCCGCCACCCTCGCGCGCAGCCCCTCTGCCTCCGCCTCAGCCGCGGCTTGCGCCTGCTCCGCCGCCTCGCGGAACTGGCGATGCTCCTGGGCGGCCTGCTCCAGCGTCGCCTCGTTGGTGGCGGCAATGGCCTTGTACTGCTCTACATGACGCTGCGCTGCCTCTAAATCCTCTCTGACGTTGCGCACCTGCATGCGCGCCTTCTCCAGCTCCGCCAGCGCCAGCGCCTCTCGATCCGACTCGTTGCTAGGGGTACCCACCTCCCCGCGAATTGCCGCTCGCAGCTGACGACACAAAATGCGCAGGTCAGCACCTCGAACCGCTCCGGCCAACTGCCTTGTCAACGCATTTGCACCTTGGCCGCGTGCACACACACTCGAAGTCGGATCTCCTCTGCAAGTATTACTAAGCACACCATGCTTGCGTCTCAAAAATGCTGATGTGCATCTGGCGCATGGAAGCCCCTGTAGCTCGAAGCACGTCTGATCAGTCTGGAAGTCAGGTCAGCGCCTGTCGCTCACCTTGCTGTCTGCCTGCTGCAGCTGCTCCTCCAGCGCTGTCACCCTGGCCTGTGCCGCTGCGTGCTGAGCGCTCCCCTCCGCTGCAGCCTTCTTGGCAGCCTCTGCAGCCCCTTCTGCCGCCGCCACCCGCTGCGCCGCCTCTTGCGCGGCCTGGTCGCGGGCCAGGGTCAGGGCGCGGCACCGCTGCCGCTCCCCCTCAACCTCCTCACGCGCGTCGCGCCACTCATGCTGCAACCGAGCAGCCGCAGGAATTAATCTACAGACTCGGCAACCATTTGAATTCAACCATTTGCGGCTGAGCAGGAGGCACAGCTCTCTTGTGCCGCCCGCTTCCGCAAGCGGTGTGCCTACCTGCAGCCTCTGCAGCTCCTCCAGCAGGCGCTTCCGCTCCTCGCCCGCAGCCTCCGCCTGGGCGTCCAGCCGCGTGCGGGTGGCCTCCAGCGCGGCCTGCGCCGCATGCATCTTCTGGGACAGGCCGCGGGCCTCCTCCGACACACGCGCCTCGGCATCGGCCAGCAGGCTCTTCTCCTTCTCCAGAATGGCCACCTGCGCCACCCACCACCGCGCTCAGCACAGCATGGCCGCGGTGACCCAAGGGGGCCCCGAGAGGCTGCATACTGACAGGCTTCCCCAGACAAAAGAATTGGGCCACTCCAGCAACTTGCAAGCTTGTCCTCCCCAGCATGTCGCAGTTTCCAGCCTCCGCATTGAGCGGGGCCTCACCTGTATCTCCAGAGTGCGCAGTGCATCCTGAGCATCCTGCCGCGCGTGGTCGCTCGCGCGCAGCTGGGCCTGGAACTGCTGCACGCTGGCCGCAAACTCCAGGTTGCGCTGCCGCAGCCCCTCCAGCTCCAGCGCCTGCCCCTGGAATTGGCCCTCCAGCATGCGGTACCGCTCACGCTCAAACTCCAGTGCGGACTCGGCCCGCCGCTGCGCCTGCTCCGCATCCAGGACCGCCTTCCTGCGCAGCCGCAGCACGCGATGTCACAAGGGGGCGTGCAGCCAGGCAAGGAGCCAAGAGACACTGTCCAGGCGGGGGGGAGCACACCAATCTTGCCGACAGGACTACTCTGGCAGCCAGGTGTACTTGGCTGCCAGGGGGCCCCACCAGACTAGTGTATTGCCCACCTCTTGGCATCCATCTCATTGAGCAGCTGATTCTTCTCCCGCTCTGCCGCCAGCTGCGCATCCTCCAGTGCCTTCTGCGCTCTCTGTGCCACAGCCAGCTGGTCCGCCCCCTCCCCGTCCTCGCAGTCAGCCCCTGTGCTAGGCCCAGTCGGGCGCCTCTCTGCAGCACGCCACAGCCGCTCAAATGCGGCCGCCTGCGAATCAGAGCTGGGGTCAGGACTGGTCCTCATCCCTTCTTTCCCTTGAGCCTCACCCCCCCAGCACAGAATGCATGCTGAACATAGCCGTGTGCATATTGTACCATGTCTGTAAATCAAGCACGACCCCCCTTTATACCTATTGTCTGTCGAATGCACTGTCTGCAGAAATGTAAGGCCATGCTTCCCGAGCCTTCTCAAGACTTGGCAGCCCCTGCATACTGTTCTAGCCAAGAAGCGCGACCAGCTCATTCTTAATAGTATCTGCCAGTCCATAAGACAGTCCCTCGCGCCCCTCCTCACAACAAAGCGATACCAGTGGAACAGTGGACTTTGGCACACGCTCCACCTTGCAGGACATGCCCCAGTGTTGCGCAGTCAGGCAGCCTAACCTGTTTCTTGACGAGGGCGATGGCCTCATCTCGCACTTGCAGATGGCGCCGAATCTCCTCCACCTGCTGTGTAGCACGCAGGTAGGCCGCGTCCACCTCAGCCTTGGCGGCCTCCTGCAACCAGCATGCTCCCGCAAGTGAGAGGAGAGGGCATGTAGATGGAGGAAGGCACATGCGATGCACCTGAGAAGGTCAGGAGTCTCTGAACGGAAGACCCCAAGCTCTCCAGCTTGCGCCTTGCAAGGGTCCATACGAGGTCCGCAGTTCTCTGTATCCATGCAAAGGCCTCCTCTAGGCATCTCCCGGGGCCACGCCGAGCCCCTCCGCATCTCCCCCACCATGGGTGCCTGACCTGGACTGCCTGCTTCTCGGCGTCGTGCTCCTCCTGCAGCGCCTCGTAGCGCAGCTTCACCTGCCCGTACTTGGTCACCAGCTCCGCAATGTCTTGGAAGTCCCACTCCCCTGCCTGCGGGGGCGTGCGGGGGCGCGCCACCTCCCCTCCCCCACTGCCCGCCAGCCGCCCCTCGTGCTGGCCCTCCCAAGTGAGCAGGGCAACCTGCACGACCGCCAAGCAGCACGGGGCAGCTTAGGCGAGCGCACCCGAACATTCTCCATCCAACGATTATTTCACCACATTTCGGACTCATGTGCTTGCTGCAAAGGGCAAAACATCTCAGCTGCACGCTCGCGCGCGCGCACCTCTCTCTCGAGATCGGCCACCTGGCGCTCGAGGCCGTGCTTCTCCCTGCTGCTGCGATTGAGCTGCGCCTGCAGCTCCGCCACCTGGGACTGCACTCCCCGCTCGCGCGCTGCGGCGTCCGTGTGCTTTTGGAGCAGCGTCTGGTATGATGCCTCCAGGCTGCGGAACGTCGCTGCGCACCACCACTGATCGCCGCTCAGGACCAAACCCGCACAGCCAGGCAGACTGCCAGTGTTCAGCGCAGCAAGAGCACAACGTGGATCCAACTCCTTGAAGCAAGCGTCCGAGGATGCTGTCATTGCAAGCGGGTCAACAGAAGGGCGAACGTGGACGCGGTGTCACCTTGCTCGGTGGCGAGGGCAGGCAGGCGCTCGTTGATCTCTGCCACCAGCTGCACCGGAGAGGGGGGAACACGGCGATGGTCACTCAGGGGCACATGCGCAGGTTTTATCAAGGTATGGGGGCAGAATCATGAATCTGTTGCTGTGGCATTGGAGGCTGGGCAAGGCAATCACTAAGATAGGCTGGTGAAACATGCGCGCTTGCTCCACCACCACTAGTTTGGAACCCCACACGAAACATGTGGTGGTGGCAGCGCAACAATCGCGCTAGTGGCCCTCACCATGTCGTACTCACGCTCCACACGCGCACGCTCCTGCCGCTCATGCCGGAAGGCGTCAGCCGCCTCCTGGTAGCGCGCGTACATCTCTGTCAACTGCACATGCCCACCCGCTGTATCAGCGCCTGTTGCTGAGCGACCGCGCGCAGCCACCACCTGGTTGCCCACTCTAGGTTGTGGCCTCTTTGTCGGGTATGCAATGGGTGAAGAGGCAGGTACAGATGAGGTGAGCACTCCTGATCATTAGATGAAGCCTGCTTGAGAATGCCTGCGGGAGGCCATGGCGAGGGGGCTGCCTGCTCACCGTGACCCCGTCCTTGATGAGCGCCGCTCCCAGGGCCATTGGGGACAGCTGCAGCAGCTGGCGGGGCTCGCCACCCTCGGCGCGCAGGTCCAGGGCTAGGCGCGGGAAGCCATCCCTGCAATGGCCTAGAGTCAGGACGCAGCAGCGGCCACTTCAAGAGGCGGCCACTTCCTTCCAATCCAAGCTGAGCAACTCTTCCTCCAGGCATTGAGCGAGCATGCCTGAAGCATCAGTTCTCAAGGACAAAGACGCCTCATACCCTGTCTGCCCGAATGTGGCCACGGTGAGTGTGTCTGGGGTGCGTGGCTGGCGCACGGCGTCCCGGGCCCCCTGCAGCTCCTGCTCCAGCTTGGCCTGGGCAATCCGCGCAGCGGCAGCCTCCGACTCGCGCGAGGCAATCTCCTGAGCCAGCCGTGCATCGTATTCTGCTTTCTGTTGGGACAAGGCTTCCTGCACGAGCAAGAAGCACGGCTGAGCCACCCCGCCTAGGCATGACAGCAACGCACATGCAGGCAGAAAACAGGACGGCCTTTCAGCCGGGCTGCAACGTGATCAGCCTTGCACTCTAGCTGCGCAGAAATCTGTTCATTTTATCAGCAGCCCCTGGTGTGTGCTTAAAGCTTGGTTCATAGCCCTTGGCGAAGCCTCACCTCGATGGCTGCAGCGACCCCCTTGAGTTCCGTGAACTTGGCCTCTACATCCTGGCGGCTTTCCTTGTAGAGCTGCGCCAGCTTATGCGCCTGCAGTCACCCAACAACTTCATCAGCACCACCGCACGCAACAAGCAATGACACACGAGTCCCTTGGGGCCCTGGACAGATGGGGCTCTTTAGCCCTTTGAGCTGCATAGGATACGAGCCCCTTGCAATGAGCCATGGATCAGAGGTCCAACTCAAGTTGCTGCCACATGTGTGACCATCCTGCATTGCTTATTGCGCTGCCCCTTGCATGCTCACCGTCTGAAGCTCTTCATTGAAGTGCCGCTCGCGCTCGCTGGCCGCATCAGCCGACTCGCGCTGCTTGCGCTGTGCCTGCTCCAGTTGGCCTTCCAGCGCCGCCACGCGCTCCCTGGCCCGCTCCGCTGCGCTGCTGCTGTCGCTGCCGCTCTTCTCTGCAGCGGCCAGCTTGTTGGCCAATTCCGTCTCGCGCTCCGCCGCCGCCTGGCGCTCCTGGGCCAGCGCACCAGCCTTGCCTGCCAGCTCGCGCGACAACCATGCATTGTGCTGCTCCAGCAGCTCCTTCTCCTACAAGTCACACATGAGAACATGTTGGCATTTTGGCAGGCCAAGAGCCTGCTTGGGGCATGCGCCTGGACAACTGCTCAACCGACTAGATGAGCAATGAGTGCTGGATGTTAGTGTACGCCCTCAGCAAAGGAATGACAATCTTGCCTGCGTCAAGCGTGCATTGCCAGCCTGAACCCGCTGGCGCTCTTCCTCGGCTGCCCGAACTTTGCCGTCCAAAACAGCACGGGTGTCAGTGAGCGCCACCTAGAGACAGCAGAGAAAGTGTGAGAACAAAACCTGAGCCAAAGAGTGTTGGGCCTGGTGTAGATTGCCTGGTGCAGATTGCACGAGCAATTTGGACATGCAATGCTCTGACAATGCCCAAATGGATCACCACCTCTGTGATAAGGAAAAGGGGGCATCCCACAGAGCCTCACAATCTTGTCCAGGTATGCCTTGATGGTGGCGTCCTTTTCCTGGAGCTCCTGGTTCTTCTGCTCCAGGAGGCTCCGCAGGCTGCGCCCCCCTGCCTGCTGCTCCGACAGCTCTAAACGCACTCGCTCTGCTTCGCCCTCAGCGCTGACCTGCGCACCAGCCCAGGAGCAAAACTCAAGCAGCAGCCGAAGCAGACCAGAACTAGGGCGGCAACAGCAACTTAGGTCCAGCGCGCAAAGCAAGCAGTTGTCGAGGGCTGGGAGTGCGCATGCCCAGCGCGCACCTTGTTGAGCTGTTCCTGGTGGGCGCGCGCTCTTGCTTGCGCCAGCTCTGCGGAGGCCTCTGCCAGGCCTGCCTGCAGGCGCCGCTGCTCCGCTTCCAGCTGGCCATACTCCTCCGCTAGCGCCAGGTATCGCTGTTCCAGCTGCGCGCACGTCTGCTCCCGCACAATAGCCTCGCCCTCCGCCTGGGCGCGTAGCTTCTCAGCCTCGTACTGCAGCCCAGCCACCACCTCATCACAGCGCGCAACCAGCGCAGCAGGGTTGTCCCGCAAACCCTGGAACTCTATATCTGAAATAAACTGCGGCATGGTGGAGACCGACAGGAAATACCCTGCCGATCAGAGCCCTCTGAGGTTTTACAGCTAGGCAGAGTGCACCAAGCATTTCAAGGTGAATGCAGCATGGGCCAACTCCTGATTTCCGTCCTCCTTCAGGCGCCTCTTCAGAAATTCTGCCCCTCTCCTCCAGGGATGCGTGAACTGTACGTGAATGAATGCGATCTCTCCCTTCGGGACCTCCTAATAGGTACTTTTAACATATTCGTAGAAAAGCTTGCAAGTGGTTACGGTAGAGCGCCGGCAGTGACAACTCAGAGTTGGGCCAAATGGTCGTGAGCTCAATTCGCGAGTGTAGCACGGTCGAACTTTTCATGGTGTTGTTGCTGATCGCGTTAATAGCATGGATTAATTAGCAATCCGGTTCTCTAGCCAGTCCAGCTGAGGAGGCCGGTACGCCGTATGCTCTACTATGCTCAATTGTGCAAATGATGTTGAAACGGTAGAACGGTACCGTATCAAGGGTAACCCATTCTTGAATGGACTTAGGAATGCACGAGTTTGCAGGAGTTTCCTCGGACTCTCGGAGTATTGTAGTATTGTAGTATTGTAGTATTGTTCCATTTCACAACCGGCCGTTCTTCCGGTACTGAGGTAAACAGGTCTCGGGTAATGAGGATATTCTAGAAGAGTTAGAAGCAACCCTAAGAAAGATGAGAAAGATGAGAAAGATCCAAACTTGGTTGTGGTACTAAAGAAGATAGTCAACAGCGTCACAGTGGAGGATGTTTGATCGGGGTTTGATCATTAACGGCGCTAGCCTTCCGAGCCCATTGCGAGCTACGCGCTCGCGGGTCGCGCGGACTTGTGTCGTCAACGCGCAGTGCGGCCGCGAATTAATCCCCGAGCCAGTTCCTCCGTTGGATGGCCGGATCCGGTTGATCTCCAAAACGGGCATACTGTCTGAGTCTATGCATGTGCACTTGAAAACGGGCATACTGTCAGAGTCTATGCATGTGCACTTCAAAACGGGCATACTGTCTGAGTCTATGCATGTGCACTGGCTGCAAGTCTGCGACTTATAATATCATACACATGGATTTATGCATGCAACTCCCAAGAGGGAGCTAGCAGGAATAAGACATGTAGTCTCTGGAGTCCACCAAAGGTGTATTTTTTACACCACCTTCTCTCCAAGAAGTTTATCTTCAGGCGCCTTCGCGCCTCTCCCATGCTCACAAGGAGCAAGAACGTTTCGATGGTATCAAAAGATAATTCTTCCCCAATTCCTCAGCCTTGTTAAGAACTATCACCTCTCGCTCGTGCTACCCTCGATCATGTCTGACGCAGAAGCGAACTCGGACGTGTCCAAGTCAGAGCCTGGTCTTGAGGACGAGCAGCAAAGTGAGGAAGGGTGAAACGTTC